GACACACATTTTTGTGACACACGAGACGTATTTTTGCACATTACTCTTGATGCTTCGTGACTTATATGCATTTCTATTGACATGAAATCATAGTATTTATGCTCGAGCGATCTTTACACGCGCTTTTATGAAACAGCCTAAGTTAACTTGGTTGTGCTATCACGACACAGCATTGCCGTAAATTATGAACACGTCTTGTCAACAAGGGTTATCAGTAAGAAAACAACCAATTTGATAATAGAGTAAAATTTCGTTTAGTAGTTTGTCGCTCGCTGATTAAAAATGTAGAGGAGGGGGAGTGGAGGAGAGGAATGTGCAGCCAGACGTAGGATGCCGACGTTAGAAGGCAGCCTGGGCGAGAAGTTTAACCGCGTTATGTCGTTTGGTCTCGATGCTGCGTTCAGCGACTGCTCCACGGGACTCTTAAGTCTCTCTTTCCCCGCAATAAAACTTATATCCATCCGCAGTGTATTAGTGCCCGTACGATGCACAATTCGCTTGGAATAATACATAACTATTTTCACTACCAATCTTCCATTATAACTAAAGTACCGGATTTTAGGATTCAAATCATTAGTTGGATGAATTCTACTTGTGCCGGTCACGCACAGTTGATTTTTCGAATCGTCACATCGAACTCCTAAGCTGTGTTAGTTTGATTTTGGATTGGATTCATTCACAGTAATGTTGAACCCATTTCATTTTTACCAATTTCATGGTCTCGATCTCACACTTACATTAAAAAATGAATGAATGATTTAGTCCAAATAACGACAGGCCACTGCGCTTAACTCTGATGCACCATTTTGCCAGGCCAAACTGGGTCAGGATGACCCACACGCGGGCAATTTCTCCATGTAATGTCGGTTTTATTATTCAAAGATCTTATACTTGGTGCCGGTAAAAAGATGACCGCGTGACATCAAATTTGGATGAAAATTTCACACCTGTTTGCTGTTCTATATCATTACACATCGTTGTGAAATACAAGCGTTTAGTATCTTTTTTCGTTTAAATTTAAACCAATATCCCGGTCTCATCAGGCATCCGACATTAAATTAAGTATCGTTTATATGAATCGACGTCAATTAATCGTTTTTTCGGCCTCATATGCAACTTTTCGTTGATAGCATTCGAGACTGTTTAACTAACGTCGAAAAACGAGGATTCTTGAGGTCGGATGAAGATACTTGATAAATCTAGTTAAATAGCGTCTGTAGTGTCTTTCATACGCCCATCTTTCTGCCTCTATCCAAAGAAAGAATAAATAGCTGAAATGGTATCCTTTGTCGAACTTGTCTGCTCGTAATTGTTCATTATCCCATCTAATATGCTCAGTACTGCCCATGAATACAATCCAAACGATGCAACTCCTAAATCCAAACCTTTACACTTATCGTTTCATCAACATGTTCTTTATATTGTGTAGACGCATTTTAAAGCTCGTTCATAATTTCGGTGTCATGATTTTTTATGAGATTCAGGCAAGTTGTAATTCAAATGTGTTGAAAGTGATCATTTTATGACAATTAAAAAATCAATTCCAGTGTAGTAATAGGTTGGGAATGTTATGCTTGATATACGTAATCGTCATCTGGAGTATCAACCGAATAGCAAATGTCAGACACCAGTTTTAAGACAAAATGCCAGAGTTGCTCTAGGGTAAGATCAAACATAATGTCTGATATATGTTCCTACATTGGGTATCTAACTCAAAATATTTTAAGCTTGTTTCTTAGATTCAATGCCGAAAAAACTTCTCACTGCATGACGCTGGCAGATCAAAAAGCAGGTTACCAAATGGCATTTAAATCAGAAAACGGTGTTTCATATATTCAATATTCACTTTCAAATATTTGACATGATACAAGATTTATTACTGCTCGTCCCAACACTTTGGATGTGTCTGATTCGTTGTGAAAATTGAAAATTTGAACCCGATTTGTAGACACAGTCGAATCCTCAGGGTACATTAAGTAATAAGTTAACACAATCAGATCCGAGTCAAGTCTTAATTATTTATGCTGGACATTATTACCAGTCTAGATATGACGATTGAAAAAACGCAGACTGGCTGATGGTTCTCAGCCAGGGTCTCTTCCAAAATTATATTCTAATTTGCATCGTGCAATATACATTGAACGGAAATTCACTTGTATGTTCAATCGACGTTTTACCACAAAAGAACAACTTCCGTATTATCAATATTTGATAATAAATACAGAAATATCTAGTGATTGAACATTTATATACATTAATTTCATCGCAAGCATCGGCGGAGTAATGGTTGCAAATTACATGGTAAAGATAATGCATTACTGAACTTCGTAATAAACGACCTAAGGAAGTTCACAAAGAAGTTTAAATAGTTAAAAAATCAATTGAAGTCACTATAGATCATCATTGAGTTTGAAGCCGACCATTATCTCCACTCAAACTTATAATTTCACGTAATACTGTATATCTCAACCCACTGCACTGACACTCCACGCTAGTTAATAAGTAATAATATGCGTTTAAAAATTACTTTTTAAAGACAACACTTCAAAAGAGGTCAGTGTCTCCGATATTACACATGTACAATGAATTTCTTATTTTATTTTTATATATTAAAAAGAAATTATTTTTCAAATAATTTTTGTATTAATATTGGTATTTTTAAATTTATTTATTTTTTCAATTGATTCAAGCATAGTCTTTGACTTTAGCCAAGTGTGCAAAATTTTTGATCGATTGAACAGGTAGAAGTGTGTTAAATATCGATTATAAAATTTGTAGCTGACAAACAAACAAATGAAGTTAAAGAGAAGTGTTGTAATAATAAAATACCAAGAAATTCATCATTGTGCTTTTCCACTTATTTCAATTAACTGCTGCAAAAAAATTCCCAATAGTTAAACCCCTTATAATGGCTTATAAAATATGAAAATATTCAAGTACACACCGTGTTTTACAGGAAGTGAGATAAATGCTATCTATCATAAGGACCTCTTCTCGCGTCTCAGTCGGCAAACAGGATACGCATCCCGTGCCAATTGCTTCATGGACCAGAAATTCTGTCCAAGGAAAAAAATAGTCATGATCAAAATATATAATTATAACAAACATTTTAATATAGGTATAATCGATTTTGATGCAGTGCCGCTCGTTTATTGCCGTATAAATCACTTAAAAATTGTGACAGACACTGGAAGTTACCATGTTTTACAGACTGACCTGAAGGTCTAAAAACCATCAACGCTCTGTAGAAATACCAGAAAAAACATTCGCATGTAGAAAAAGAAACTGGGAGATAACAAAAAATGAACGTAATAAAGGGTTTAGTAGTTATTAAATAGGCATATTAAATTACGAGACGCATTTGTAGGCTTTGTGTGCAGTTTAGTTAGTATATCGTGAATATATCTAATTAATATTTAATGTGTAATATTAACGAGTTCAAATTCAGCTAAAAATTTCTGTGCCACATCATTACATCATTTGGAAAATAAATAATTATCATTGCACTCTTCGCCGTCCCGTTATCATCACAAGCGCAGGTCGTATGTCAAGGCCAGAAGCTTTAACGGGATTCCCAAGCAGGCTAATCAGCGTCACTGATGTAAACCCTTAGTCGTATTTTTTCAACGATTTAACTATTCTCTTACCTAGTAAACCATAAAGTTAAATTTCATTAATCAGCTATAAGGATAGCAATCTAAGAGGCATAAACTTGAACATTTGCAAACGTAAGGTTTTTAAAAACGCAAATAAATTCTGTGTTGAATCGTGATAAACTTTTGGCAACGAAGCCCTTCATTTGTCCAAGCAAGGAGTTGGGGCAACTCGCACCTCAGTTCTCCCCGAGACGCATGAGGGGGAGGTTGTGTGCCCAACACACTCTCATCTGTTCGTTGATCCAACGCTTAATGGTCCTGTCGTTTCTTGAATGTGAATTCCTAACTTTGCCATATGGGGCGACAGGGTGAATTTCACTCTCTCCCATAAGTGGTTAGAGGGCGAATTTCTCCCGCTGGGGAGCAGGGTGAATTCCTCGGGTGAATAAGTGGTTAGAGGGTGAATTCCTCGTTCTCCCATATGGGGCTACAGGGTGAATTCCTCCTTAGTATCCTAAGTATTTGTTTCGGGCGTAGCAGTCCCAGGTCACGTTGGATCGCCTCCGGTGACTATTGCGCATCCGCCCTCATTTGGGCAAGCTGATGCACGATGCTGTCGCTTGCTTCTCGCCATTGGTAGTGGTTCAGGAGGAGTTGATCAGTGATTGTGCCTAGGAACACGTCCAGCCGTCTCTTTAAGGTCTCCAGGATGAACTCTTCCTCCTACTCTTCCTAGAACGTCAAACAGCCTCGGTCATGACACGGAAAGTGATCCTTCCGGCAGGTATTGAAATCTGATCGTAGATATGTTACGTAGTGGTGGGGGTCCTGCACAGTTTCCCCTTCCCTCGTTATGGTATATCTCAATCCTGAAGGTCTCGATTTCGAAGTTTGGTGCCATTCCGGTTATAATTTTCCATGTGTATGGAATAACATACCTCTCACGTCTCCTCTATAGTGGGTACAAACCTAGTCGTTCCAACCTCTCCCTGTAGTTAAACTCCATCCCTCTGATCCCGGAAGTGAAAGTTCGTTGGACACCTTCCGTTGCCGGACTGCGCCGAGTGTGAACGGGGTCCAAAGCTGGCAGCAGTATTCAAGGATTGGTATTACAAGGGCTCTAAAGCGTGTGATCATCGGTTCCAATTCTCATGTTCTGAACGTCCGCCAGATCCACCCCATCTGTCGCCTACCTCATGCGGTTATTTCCGTTCCTTGTCACCAAACTTGACCTGAGTGTTCAACAACACCCCTAGATCGCGAACTAGTCGCTTCTCTTCGATTTACGAGTTGTCAGGTGCCAGGTAGCGGTGCTCCATTACCCAAGTAAAAGTTAAGGGTGGCGCATCGATTATTATAGGTGGCGATGGTAGATTACAGGTGGCGTAACGGTGGGTGGCCAGATCTGCCAAAAATCGACAATAAAACTCCAATAAATCGAGAGTGTGGCGAGTACAGGCGGCAGTCATCGAAGAATCATCGATGATTTATAGGATCAGAATCATCGATGGCACATTGCAGGTAAATCTCTTGTAAACCACCGCTAACCGTTTTCCCAAACAGCACAGAGCACGAAGGAATTTGCCACTGTGATTTATCCAAGGTAGAAAGGAGTTATTAGGTTGCGGTTCATTCGAGTTCCAGATGAAACCATGATTTCGTTCTGCGTGCTTGGCTTGTAAGATTTTGATTCACGTTTAATTTAGCGTGAATTCGGTAAGTACGAGTAAAACTGACGGACAGTTGTAGGGCGTTCACAAATTTTTCATGCTACAGTGAAGTAACTGGGAATGTATTGGACTGCTCCTGATATAAATTTTCCGAGTAGCAGTGGAAAATTTTGTCGCGAAAATGAAAGTTTTCCAAAAGATGATGGCGAATTCAATTTTTCATGTGTATTGCTAACCTCAAGGAAAATAAACTTTCTTCTTTATGTAACTCCATTACTTTTTATTTCGCCTCAAGACTTGATCAATCGGTTCTGCCGATTGCGTAAATTGCGAATTGCGTAAATTTATTGCGAATTTTGTGTAGGCTCCATATATGCTGTGCTTGAAATATGGTGATCAATTGAGACTAATTGATTGTATCAATAAGTATAAATTATATGGTTCGATTATGTGGTTTTCACGATATTTATATTATTTTCAAGTTGACGCATTTACTGTATCAAAAGCCACGTTGACGTAGTTGACAGCGGCCCGGCATCTCTAAAGCGCAGCGAGCAGCTACAAGTGTACACGTTCATACCTGTTGGGTTGGAGCACGTCGGCGTTGAGCTTCTTTCTCATTAATCATTAACACGGCCTGCTTGGAATACGTGTTTTCCGGGTAATTTGCTTGTCAAAATAGTATCCTCTTTACGCAGAGGGATACGAGTAAAAATTCGGTTTTCTATTGCTGACTTCGATAGTGAAATTTAATTATTTTTGGGGAAATTTTCGTAAACCGCCAGATAATTATTTTGAGTTTACGTCTACATTTCTAATTAAGTGGAGTCTACGTCTTTCCAACGAAAAATATTAAACATTAGGCTGCAGAAAAATAGTGAGACGAAGTGATGAAGGCATTTCACGCCTAACTTTTCAAAATCATCGAGTGATAATTACGAAAATATTTCAAATCGAGCCGCTGTTAAAATTGGTGTAATGTTCACATTATGAAACTTCGATACTCATCAAACATTTTCCTGTAGCCTTTGCTCTGAGCTGAACCATCATTCGTTATGGATAAACGAAGTATCTTTCAGCGGCTGCTTTCTCGATTATAGCAGCATGTTCATATAAAATGGAGAATGGAACCATCTAATCATCACGGTGGGAGCATTAACTTCTATCATTCGATGAAATTAATATATGCAATACCTCAGTTAAATCTTTTAAAATTACTCGCCTGCCATGTCCTCTCCGATGGCGCAACGGTAGAGGGTCTGCTTCGCGTGGGGGAGATCGGAGTTCGAATCCTGCAGGCTGGGACTTTCTTCAAGTCGATTTCTCACACGATATGAGTATGGTACTCTGATAATTTGTTCCTGCTACATGTCTGACATTGTTAATTGTACTGCCAGGGTGTATATTCATACGTAGTCCTCAGAATATGGTTGTCTGGAGCAATGTCAGTGCATTTAAATGCATCGTATGTGAAGCTAAAGGAAATTTTTTTATCGACTTCATTTTAAAGGTGGCCATCGGTGGCTCATCGATGCGCCACCGCGGTGCCAATGGGCAGTTATTGGTGGAAGAAGAGATTTTCCTAGTAGGGTTGTTGTTGGTAATAATATCACTCGTTTGCTTGAATCGCAAATTCACTAAAAACTTAATAGCAAAGAAAACTCCACAAAAATTCATAGTATCTTTAAAGAAAACGTTTCGGAGTCCAGCTCCATCGTCAGTTCGAAAATTCTAGAACACAGATAAATCAGGTATTATTGCAGTCAAGAATACAACGAAAATCCTAAGCTGCAAAACTTACCAATTTACAATTTCAAGCGGGTAAGAGCTAAAAGCTAATTTCAAACTAGGCCTCTGTTTAAAAATATACAATGATTCTAAAATGCGCAAATCAGAAACACCGGAACTGGAAGCTAAAACTGTGAAGTCACTGTCAGAAACTGGAACATCGCACTGCTCGGCGTGAACCCGCACAGTCGAATGAGGTGGGCGCGACAGTAAGTTACCAGTTCTAAAACTCCTGCCCCTATGTTCTGCGACCCTAGAATAAAGATTGCGAGACGTCATCCCGACGTACGCAGATGCACATCGTGCACAACTAAATTTATAAACTAGGGACGCACGCATATGCACAGGGAGAGTATCTCTGTACCTAAAAAAAGAACCGATTTTAAAATGGTTTACCAATATGACACGAAGATTAACATTTGCGAAATACTTAGAAAACAAAAGTTTTAGCTCTCTTGACATAGTTTCGGATGTATGGCCGAAATATGGAAGAGAGCAATAAACAACATCCCTATTGTCGCGCTCGGGAGCAACCTCATGGTACCGCTTGGACATGAATTTCTTTATTTGGGTAAACACCAGATTAGTCGGAAATCCATTAAGCGAAAATATATTTCGTAAAAATTCGAATTCAGCGTGCAGAATATTGTAAGTAGAACAAATACGAAAACCTCGGTGCAAAAGTGTTTGAATCCCATTAATCTTAAATCGAAACGAGCAAAAGTTAAAAAGCTGGTACTGAGGCCTGTGAATGTCGATTTTCGGAATACAGAAGTTTGAAAACGGCCATTAGATTTAGTAATATTGCAATCGAGGAAGGACAGGCTATTGTTAGATTCCAGTTCCATAGTAAATTTGATAGATTTATGCCACAAATTTAGGTAATCGAAAAAGAGTTTAACGTGAGAAGGATGCTTAAAGTGAATAAATTTTCAACATCAAAAGAGGCCATAGTTAGGTCCTGAACGTTGGTAAAATCCTTTAAGCGGTCCACAAACGTATAAGAATTGTCTACAGTATACTTATTATTCGTGAGACAGTTTAAAACAGGTACCAAAAACTTAGCAAGTTTAAAACTAGGCGTATTGTAAGCGGCAAAAATTGGCCGGAATTGAAACTTAGAGGCAAAATCGGATTTATGAATTTTGGGCAAACCATATAAAGTACCAGGACATGAACCAGATGTGTAAAGTTTAGAATAAGTTTCCGGTGAAAAGGCAGAAGAATCTTTAAGTTTTCGCTCGAAGTTATTAATTCTGTCTTCAATTTTCAAAATTGTTTTAGAAATTGGGTCGGTAATTTCAACGAATTCATATTGTTGTTGTTGTAATAGCCCATCCTGGCAGTGGCGACTAGGGAGGGGGGGGTGATAGGTCAGTTTTTCCGGGCACTCGGTGCCACTGGTAGTTCCACGACCATCACTGGCTCGCTGATCCGCTAGAACCATTTGGTTGCATTACACAGCCCCCTGGACAAGCCAGTTACTCATTTATCAACCAGAGTTGGATGGATGGCTGAGTTGACCATGAGCTGAGCTTCCCGGTAGAACTTGTCCTCAGTGGGACTCGAACCCGGGCGCTGGGTGCGAGAGACAGAGTCTCTCACTACTGCACCACACAGCTACATATACTATATGGGTGGCCATAGGCAGGTCATAGGTGGAACATAGGCCGGACACGCCATCGATGCCGCATCGATGCGCCATCGGTGCTCCACCTATAATTTCCACCTGTAGCCACTGATAATCATCGATGCGCCACCTCAAATTTTTATTTGGGTACAGCTCTTCTGGTACCTCTGTACAACAGAACCTCAAACTTGGTCCCGTTGAACTGCATGTTGTTGATTTGGGCCTAGTTATATATTGCAGAGAGGTCTTCTTGCAACCTCCCTATCCCACAAGAGGCTACAAACTGAATTTCTCCCTTACCCAATGAGAAACTACGGGGTGCATTTCCCCCTCTCCCATGGAGGCTCTAGATTGAAATTCCTTCTCCCCTATGAGAGACTCTAGGGTGAACTCACGTACTCACAATCTCGTCGACAAGATGTTAAACTGCGTCGTAACCGCCACGGAAGGAACCATTCCCTAAGGCATTGAACTCTGACGTAGGCGTTGTTGCGTAATGTAGGTAACCTGTACACGTACTGTCTCTCAATGTTCTCGCCGTGGTTTTTCGTGATTCTGTACGACTAACTTCAAAATTTCTGGGCCAGTCCGGTTATTATTTTTCATATGTGCATAAGGACATACTTCTTTCATCTCCTCTGCAGTGAGTACGGACCTAGGCTCTCTAGACACCCTTATAGTAATTCAGCTCTTCCATTCCGTTGATCCTAAACGATGTGAAGGTTCGCAGGATCACTTCCAATTGCCGCACTGCGCCCAGTTTAAACGGGGTTCTTTACTGGCAGCAGTACTCAAAGAGAGGGATCGCAAAGGCTCCATAAAATGTGATCATAAATTTTGCTACCCATGTTCTGAACTTCTGCAAGATTCAACCCACCTGTCGTGTGGCTCTTGCAGTTATTGCCCTATGACGTCACTATATATGAGTTAAGGACTCATCTATACTCCATGGTCGATAACAGCTTGCTTCTTCTGAATGCCATCCGATGACAGGTTGCGGTGTTACATCCCGACTTTACCGACTCTGTATACTGTATATCACAACCTCGAGCGTGGTTTCGTTCTATTGCCTGTTGTTCACTCAGGCCTAATCAGGTATCGCAGATTGCTCCCTGGCACCTCATTATAGACATTTCAGCATTTCAGCATTTAATCTTTCACTAATTCTAACTTAACCAAACCTACATCTACTTATGTTAGAAAAATTTACTTTGTGCAGTAGGGTAACATGGGACAAAGGGACGACCACTGCGGGTCAAAGGCCCATAGCGGGTTTCTCGCTAAGTATGGCAGATATTGGTCCGTGTTCTCTACCGCCGGTCGACAGTTTGACTGGGATGAAGTTTACGGATTTACGTATTGCTAAGAGTTCGCGTTATTAAGTTATTTTTGAATAACTGTTTTAGCCCAGATACAAATTTTTTGCTGCCAAATAAAACTGTTTTCGATTACTGTAGATGAAGCTTTTGAAATTACTGTGAATTATATTTTGAAAGTTAAATTTTCTGGAGATAATTTTGAGATCAAGTTTAGACTATTAGCTTTTAAAATAAAATGTTGACACGATATAAATTATATGATACCTTGTGGGGCAACGGGCCCATGCGTTCACGGGGCAAAGCGCCCATGGTGGGCTCAATACCCCTCAGTAAATACCCCTACATCATTAGATTTGTCTCAATGACCTTTTCAAAACTATGACTAGCTTTTGGAATTACAAATTACACTTCATATTGCATGATTTTTTTATTTGCCGCCTCAAAGCAGCAGGTTTAGTTTATAGTTATGCGTATTTATGACTCCTTATCGAGTTATTGACTCTTGCCTTGCGGTCAATAACTCGATAGTCAATAACTCGAGTCAATAACTTATCGAGTTATTGACTCTTGCCAAAAGTTGATTTCAGTCAACACCAATGAGCCAAAAGTTAATAAGTTTTTATGGTGTTGGCTGAAATCACGATTAGGTACAAAATATCTGCACATAATATCTGGATTATGGACGAAACTGGAACGAAGTTTTTTTCTGATCAACTAAATATATTTTTTCTAGTCAAGGATACATTTTTTCATGTCAAGGACGAATTTTTTATCGCAAGGATATATTTTTCGAGTCGAGGATATATATTTTTATGTCAATGAAATATTTTTTCCACATCAGTGATAGACTTTTAAAGCCAAGAGTATATTTTTTCAAATTAAGGATACGATTTTTTGAGTTGTTAATAAATGAAAGAATGTCATATTTTTATTACATTTTCTTATTTTATCATTTTTAACGAAAAATATGCAATTGTGATAAAGGGACCAAGGGTGGGCGCCTTGCCCCAAGCGCACGGGCCTATTGCCCCAGGGGCGGGGCAATGGGCCTATTTCAACACTTTTTACAAAATTGTGTTTCATTAAAAATTGAATAATTTTATAGGCGTCGAATTCACATCATACATTCCTCATCAGTTGTACCTTTAAACAAAACAAAGAACCACCTCGTATCAATTAAAACTTCATCAAAAATTTAGTTTAAAAAAGGGGGGGCCACTGCCGCATGTTACCGTAATAGAATTTTATGGTGAATTGTTGCAATGATGCAATGTCCCAAATGATGAATTGCTATAGTGATGAAATGTCTCGTAAGATGAGATGTCTGGCCACCATTACAGACAGCCATCTTTTAACATCTTGAAATCTTTCTTGTCCGTAATAGTCATCAGCACCCTAGAGTCGTACGCATATGGCGATGTACAGGCGATGTACATTTCCACGTATATGCCGGCGATGAGAGCGAGGATCAGACCAGACACCATTCCTTGTGGTATTTCACTTTTCACCCTTGCCTCACCTGATCTTGATCCTCCAACAACAGCTGTTTGTAGTCTGTCGGTTAGCAAGTTATTGATCCATGATATCAGGTCTGGTCCGACTCTCAACTGTAATCCTAATTTGATAAAAAAGTACTCTATAGTCAACTTCATAGTCCGAGGCTTACGCAAAGTCTAAATACACTTCTACGACAACTAGTGTGGTGATGCTCCAATAACTGGGACAATCAGAAGCGATTTCGCTGATAACCATGTTGTATCTTGCTCAGAAAGTTAGCATTTTCTATTTACTGTACTAACCTCTTGGCTGTGTTTTTAGTTACACATCACATGTAACACCTTAGTTATATGTGATGTCAATGCCGGTAATTTAAGTGTCAGTCCCTTGTATCCCCTTTGTAGATTGAAGTTATCAACTCGACTATGAGTTTACTGGAGACGTTTTATTCTCCAGATGATTTATACTAGCGCAATGTCAATTGGCCCTACAGGGCTCTGACACTTTTTCAGCAACACCGCAAGGACTCGGCGCCGAGTCGTTACGGTTTTGCTGAAATCGGCGCCGAAACCGGAAAAGCCGATAGTTTTTGTTTACTTCGCTATAGGTCAGTTATTTCAACCGCATTACATGCCCCCTAGCATTTCCTGAGGGACTTCAATTTCGTTCTTTGGTTTTCGTTCTGTAGGGGTTGCTGAGCAGTGAATACTTCTTCAAACTTCAAACTACGTTCTAGCAGCAGTGGTTTGGCTGTACCCTGATCATATCCCTGAAAACATTAGCGATTTTCAATCGTAAACTCCAATGTTTCCTTTATTTTTATTTTTGCATGGTCCTATATCAGGAACACATAAAATAAAATAATTATCATCTAACAAATATTTATATTTTTAAAGGGTAAGGTTTTTATTTTAAGTGTACTTAGCCTGAGCTAGCTCACCTAGACCTACCCATCTTCCCAAAGATAGCTAGCCCAGCTATAAGGCAAGATGCAGCCTGGCCTACTAATCCTCGGGCTTGCCTACCTAGGCCTGCCTGCATGCGAGGCGCAACGACCTATCGTCTTCGGAGAGTCAACGCCTTCAGGCGAGTGAGAGGATAAGAATATAGGTTGTTATAAGGTTTGAATTATTTGTTGTTTTTCAGTAAAAAATATGGGTTAGAATAAAATGACTGTTTATTTTTAGGGATTGAAAGGTGCTCTGTGATAGAAGTTCACCCCAACATAGCTTCACCCCCCAACTTTCAGGGTGCCACTGCGTGCCGTTTACGGACTGCCGTCAGCTTCTGCCGCCTATGGGCCAGCGCCTATCGTACGTGCAAGCGGCGGCCCTGCGGCACCGAAGATGCGGCTTTGTTAACCGAACCATCAAGGTGAGCTGTGGTTGCCTCAGAAGGGGGGTTACGATGACCGCATGGTGGGTTCTCGTTACCAGCGAGTTGGGTTATTGTTGTTAGTGAGTTGTAACTTCATACATAGCAAATTTTGTACATCAAACTCCCCACGAAGTGAAAAAGCTAAGGTATCAAGCTAGAGGCTAAAGAGATATAGACACTTTAGTTGAGGTCTTGACATTCTAGCGTTGATTGAGGATGAAATTGATGAAATGAACACAGTTATTGTCCGGCGTATACTGGTAATACCCTGTTATTTTACACGAGTTTTCTTACAATGACAGCATATGTTTATAGATAATTATCATTTTTCATATTCAATGTTCCCAGACAATCGTCTTCTCTATCAGGCTGACTTGCAATACTGTCAGAAGCGTTGAAAATACGAGCTATAATTATTACATACAGACGAGGATACGAGCATCAATATACAACAAAAATGTGCGAGTGATGCAGGTACGAGCCACACCAAAGAGCTACCAGAAACTAATAAAAGATAAGAACATGAGAACACACAAGCTGATTCGTGCGCTTCGAAGTATATACGAATTGTTTAGTCCCTTAGTGCACCGTGTACCTTCTGCACTTGGGTTGTTCAAGCGACCTTTTAGTTGGTTAGTGTTACCAGACCTGTGCATACTAAGGCAGTGTCCTACCAGCACCAGATCTGGCCTTGAATTTGACTCACAACTCCCACATCATGACCATGACTGATGACAGCAGCCAAGGTGATGACATTAGTCAGGAATAGAATAGAATAAAATAGAAGTGTGGAAATTGGTCCATGGCCTATTTCTACATTTCCGAAGAAATAGGCCCACGGCCTATTTCTAGGACTGAAGAAATAGGCCCATTGCCTGAATAGGACTAAAGAAATTGGCCCATGGCCTGTTGCCGATTCTTGTGCATTACGTGACTTTATTCACAAGAGGTCTGGCCTCTTTAACCCGATCTTTCCATAACTGACTATTGATTGGGATAGCTGCTGGACTTATTGCAAGGTTCGTAAGGTGCTAGGCCTTTCAAGGCTGAACATATGTTCCTGCATAGCTTTGTCTAGTCTGTTCTTGAAGGCGTTCATACCAGAAGCGTCAACGATGCCATCAAGGAGACTGTTCCAGATGTCCGTGACTCGAAGCGAGAAGAAATGTTGTCGCAAGGATATGTAACAACTCAGTTTTTTAGTTTATAGCCTTAGACCCTGGTGTTGGTTCTTGTTTCTAAATTTAGGGCTCCTTCTGGTGTTAGGGAATACCATATATTTGTCCATATTTCTTAGTAACAATTTTTCCATTTTCATTTAGAACGTTCCATACTTTATGTTATGCAAACATCCAGGACTCATTCTTTCATGGTTTAGTCACGAGCTGGAAAGGATTGCTGCTCTGCATAACGCAATCGTATAGACATGATTTACTAAATACAATGTGAATACTCAGTGTTTTATCTAAACGGAAACCCTTTCATGACCGTGTCAAGATACGAGTACACTGACGAAGAAGTAGTCCCCCAGCACTGGGACCTTGTATAAACCGTGGGTATACCTGTATACTTATATGAGGTCACCAGGCAGATGTCGATAACAGAGGCTTGGAAGTTTAATAATCTTTAATCTTTCTTCATAGGGCTTGCTTTTTAATCCCGGAATCATCCTTGTTGCACGTCTTTGAACACTCTTCACTAAATTTTTGTCCTCTAATAGCTTTGGTGACCACACGGCATTTCCAAACTCTAGGAAAATGGGTTTCCAGTCTTTCCAGTCATCTGTCATTGTGACTACATCAGTCTTGGCAATGACAGCAGTCATGGTGAAGACATCAGTCTTGGTGATGACTGATGTAGAATGTAATATATGTTTTTTATGTTGCTGGTGTCACTCAGGTTCGGTCAGGTCCCCCAGGTTCGGTCAGCCGTACTTGAAATACTTTAACATGGAACACAACAAAGGCGTGCAATAAAAGACGCTTCCGCAAATCCACTCTCTTAAATCTGTAACCTGCATTAACAATAAATGAACGAAAGACAAGGTATGAATAAGCACTTCGCGTATATTAATAAAACTTCTTGTGTTGAACGAATTAACAAACAAATAACCAGGTAAACACGTTGAGTGCGGCACGACCCCCCCGGTGGGTTGCAGGGTATTTTTTCCGGACAAATTCCGCGATTTAGTTTTTTCAATCGCGTCTGTCGACAAATATTTCTGATGGCAGTACTACCACATTAGACTTCAAAAACTAATTTAAAAAATTTATTTAATTATTGCGCCGTAACCTACAAATTTACTAGTATATTTAGAATAATAGGGCCTTTTATCCGCGAAATTGGTCATTTTTAGGCCATCTGCCAGTTCTGGGAGGTCGTGCCGCACTCAATGTGGTGAAGCACACATAGACTATTTGGGTTAAAATGCAGGACTGACTAACACGGACCATAAGCTAAAAATCTAACTTCCGCATTTACAAACTGAAAACTGAAATTACAAAATGTTAAATCCTATACTTTGCAAACAAGGTCACGACCCCTCCCCCACAGGTGTGTTGCGAGGGAGGGCAGCCATCACCCACTGTAGAGGATACTTCTTCTCCTGCTGGAGTTGATGGGGAAAAGGGCGGGCACCCCACCGACCTGCCCTTGACCTGCGGCAACCAATTTTTCGTTGAAAGAACATTCACTACAGGGGGAAAGAACGCCCCCCTGAGGAGCAACCCCTGGATGGTTGCCTTGGGGTACATGGGTACGTGACTATTTTGTACGCGAAAACATTTGATAGCTGCAATTAAAATATGATGAAATGGTTATTTTTGAAGTGAATTTTGTATGAACTGTTAAAAGGCGCCATGATAAGTTTGTCTACAGACTCTGAAATCAATTCTAAAATGTGGCATTTCCTGGAATCAAATACGGATTCTGGTACAATGATGGTGAGATAGTTCCATGACTGATGACATCACCTCGACTGATGTCATCAGTCCTGGTGATGTCGACCTCAAGTAACCTCTGTACAATAGTTCCCCATAACATTAGTAACGTCACTACAATAGTTCCCCGTGGCATTAGTAACCTCACTACAATAGCTCGTCATAACATTAGTAACCTCTTTACAATAGTTCTCCATAACATTAGTCACCTCACTACAATGGTTCGCAATAGCATTATGTCCCTCACTGCAATAGTTCCCATATCATTAGTAACCTAACTACAAAAGTTCTTCCATTGCATTAGTTCCTTCGCTATAATAGTTTCCCCCCTCCTCCAGTGCCGGGTCGGCGTGGTCAGCTCGAGCTGAGTTTCCAGTGCGGGGCGTCGCTGGTGACGAGCCAGCACGTCGTCACCGCCGCCCATTGCGTCCGTCCTGACGACCTAGGATTCCGCTCCCTGTTAGTTTTGTCATTTTAAGTATCGTCACGAAGGCCCAAATATTGATAATTGGATTCAACATTTACTGTCAAATAATGTTAAGTTGACTGAAGAAACGTGAGCGTACTTCAAATAATGTATTGTTTTATCTTGATTGCCAACTTGTGATTTTTTCCCTCCTATTATCTGCCTGTTGGGAGGCTCCTCCGATGCCGAGTTATGTAATAAATTTTTCTGCCCTTCAGCTTATTTCGTTAACTTAATGTGTTGAATTGAAGTATATTTATCTTGTTTCTTCAACTACCCATTTCTGTCATCTTATCTTGCTCTTTGATGTCTTCGCTCAAAGGACACAAGCGAACATCGGTGAGTGGAACACAGAGACAGACCCCGACTGCATTTCGCCTCTAGTCAGCGGCAGAAGCTTCTGCGCGCCGCCCGTTGTCGTACGTCAGATCGCTGCCATCACCTGGCACCCGCAGTACAACTCAAACGGGAGATACAACAACGACATCGCTGTCGTCAGGCTTGACAGGCCTGTTACATTTGGACGTGAGTTTAGTTCAGAAAAACTGTTCAATTATTAATCGTAATTATGGCACATCTTATCGTTAACATCATGCACCGGTAAGTTTTGTATATTTGAAATCGAAGTGTAACTTCACAGTACTAAGAAATCGCTCCGTCGGGTAAAGATATCTGTCACGTAACTGTAAGTGATTATAAGTGATTTAAAGCATATACACAAATTTAAACTTCAGACTCAACTCTTTTCGCTTAGCTAGCGTACCGTCTTTTAGATTGTGATGGAACGTTTGTTCATGGCGATCGCTCTTCAGGTGAATTTGTTCAGTTTAATCATACGTCAGGGAAGGTTCAGTCATCATTATCATACGTCAAGACTCTGCTGTGATCGGTACGTTTGAATCTCAATGGTGCGGTTCAAGAAGTCGTCGGAGTTCTATTCTAACCGTTGAGGCATGAGGTTCTTTGTGCTGAGCTCCCGTGACAGTAGCCGGCTTCGGCCGGCTGCTACGTCATCTTTCTGGAACTATCTTTCTCGAACTTTGAAAATGCCGTACTGTTCCGCTCCGAGGAGTTGAGCCGTCGAAAGGTATGACCAGCTAAAATAAAGAATAACTCCTGAACACCTATAAATGCTCCCGGCATCTAACTGCAAAATTCGTTACAAAGATTTTAAGATGCCTCCATGTGTGGTTAGTGCCCCCGGGTTCGTGGTTAGTGCCCCGCAGATGAGTGGTTAGTGTCCCCAGTTGAGTAGTTAGTGTCCCCAAGTAATGGTTAGTGTCCCCAGGTGAGGGTTAGTGTCCCCAGTTGAGTGGTTAGTGTCCCCAGGTAATGGTTAGTGTCCCCAGGTGAGTGGTTAGTGTCCCCAGGTAGTGGTTAGTGTCCCCAGGTGAGTGGTTAGTGTCCCCAGGTGAGTGGTTAGTGCCCCCAGGTGAGTTGTTAGTGTCCTCAGGTGAGTGGTTAGTGTCCCCAGATAGTGGTTAGTGTCCCCAGATAGTGGTTAGTGTCCCCAGATAGTGGTTAGTGTCCCCAGGTGAGTGGTTAGTGTCGTACTACTGAAAGTGAAAATTATTTATTCAAAACACAATTGTATTTTTTGTTATAAGGATAGAAATTGCATTGCAATCAGAAATAACTTTCAAGGCTAGCTAAGAAAAAATTAATTATTTGCTTCGAATTAAATAAAATTAATTTGATTGAAATAATCTTTCTTTTGATTTAAATGTTTTTCTAAAAAATTCCTGAAAATTAAGAAATGAGACAATGGCACCCACACGATAATTTTTTTAGGGTGCAATCTTCATACCTTTTTTATCTCCACAGTTTTCATACAACCAATTTGCATCCCGAACAATTTTGACCTGAATATCTCGGCGTCGTCGGTGTTGAACCAAATGGCTCTGGCGGTAGGCTGGGGGGCGACTGAGACACTTGTCTCCTCCCCAGTGCTGCAGGAGATCAGGCTCCCTTTGGTGGACATGCAGCGCTGCAACGCCTCCTACCTGGGCATCCTAAGTGAAAACCAGGTGATGGTGGTGCAATTTAAGGTTCGGAATTTTGCTCATCCGGAAAATTGTTTCATCTGGAAACTTGTTCATCTGGGAACTTGTTCCATCTGGGATTTTGTTCCATATGGAAACTTGTTCCATATGGATACTTGTTTCATATGGAAACTTGTTCTATGTGGAAACTTGCTCCATCTGGAAACTTGTTCATCTGGGAACTTGTTCCATATGGAAACTTGTTCCATCTGGGAACTTGTTCATCTGGGAACTTGTTCCATATGGAAACTTGTTCCATCTGTGTCAGCGCTCTATTATTACGTGTCATCTGAGGATCAGGATACGAAACTAAGGTCATAAGAGATAAGTAAGACTCCAACTATCTAGAGAACTTATATTACAGAATGGTTCTACACGAGTGATACGATTCAGGTAAAGCTAAGACGTCGACCATTAGGTCGGTGGGTAGATATTGTCGTTGTTCATGCGTTATATGATTAGATGTATGTCTAAAATGTTATTAATACTCTAAGTGAAAATAAATTTAAATAGTACGGGTATTTAATGAACTTGGTCAGGATTATTTTCAAAATTCTACCTCCCCTATCTTTATGCTACAACGGAACATTACTTTTTATCAGCCTTACTTATTTGTAATTACAGATTAGGATTTTATCACAGTCTTGGAACTCGTAAAGTTGACAGCACATTGTAAAACTTAGAGATTCGCTTAGGTTACCTCACAAAAGAGTAATATCATTACATGATCAGGTAAAATATAACAAAATGTCGGGAATACTCTGCTACATCCACCATAATCAATTCGATTAACTGCTATTGCGGTCGACTCACAAAATTGTAGAATTATACTCCACTAACGAATTCATGGCTTTGCTTAAAATTTGCAAGCCATCCAAACCAAGTAGATCAACTCAAGATGCCTTGTCTGTGGCTCGAGGGTTTTCAGTCGCTGCATTCGACTTTCGCTTGTTTATATACTGACTTTCTCAGTGCGTTTTTCTAGCTAATCAATCTGCTAATGAACTGACCCAGTAAATCAGTCTCTTCTTGTTGATTCCTTTGCTCTCTGTCATTGACAGTCACTGCCACATCGCTGCCACTGTCTCACGACACCCCTGACTTGTAGAACGCTCGTAGTCACCCTCAGCTGGTGCTGGCTCGTGGAGTCGCTTGCCACCGTAGTACCGCCTTTATTTAATCTGTTTATGGTCGTACCGGATTGCGAAGAACGCAGAAAACAATGCGTGAACGCTTCAAATCTGTCTCTGCGTCAGTCGTAGGCTCAATAAGAAAGTCTTGACGTTACAGGTAAATACTAAAGCACGCCAGGCAAAACTCCTTACAGTTTTCGGTTGCTGCTGAAATAGTGTGATTAGTAAACGAATGTCTTCTTGGATTATCCGTTGATCAGACGTTTTAGTGAGTTTAACATCACCGAAACAATCCGTTGAAAGGCTTGACCGCATGAAAATAAAACACAATGCGACAATGTTGCTGATTTAAAGACTCACAATAATAGTCGAGCAGTCGATTTTCATTTTTAATAAAACAAGGCTGTTATCACATTGTTCGGGTGCCACAGTCAGCAAGACACTTTTATTAGAAATATAGTATAGCACCACATGACTATATAGGGTCCGCCATATTTATGGCAACGCATGTTTTTTGTTATTTCTCACGGAAACATACAGGTGCATTAATTTTTTTTATTGGATGAGCTAGTAGCCAGGAATTACCTAAACAATTCTCAGACATATTTATTCAATATGACAACCCTTATCTTTAATGACGGCCTCCAAACTACGCGGGAAAGCTCCACAGGAGACACCCAGCATTTCTTGAGGGATCAAGTCCCATTCTCGTGTCAATTTATACTTCAAACTATCCAAAGGACCATGAGGTGTTCTGCAGACCCTACTCTCTAAAATAGCTCACACAGAAAAGTCGAGAGGATTCAAATCAGGGCTTCTCGAGGGCCATTCATTTTTGTTAATGAACGCTGGGATGTGACACTGAATCCAGTTTAGGGTCATGTTTGAGCCATGTGTTGGGGCAGAGTCTTGTTGAAAACTCCATGGTGAGCCGTTGAAGTGTTTACGGGCCCAAAGTAACAACACAGCTTTCAAAATGTCCGAAATGTATCGCTGACTGTTTAATTTCTCCTGAAGGGACAAAAACGAGAATGGACCTCCCAGTGGCAGTTACCGCGGCCCAAACCATCACGGACATAGGATTTTGACGTCGTGTTGCTGTTCTGGTTGCCACGGATCCATCTCGACTCTAAACTCTGTCATTGACGGTTAACGCTTAGTTCAATGTCAAATTTTTTCTCGTCACTGAACACCAAGTTGTTCAGCGTGCCATCCGCAATATAAGATCCAGATGGTGCTGGCATCTTTCGAGCCTCATCCGTTCATGACGGCCTGTTAGTTCATGCCTTGTTTGCATCTTGTAAGGGGAGGTTTTTAGGTCCTCTTTGAGGACTCTACGCATTGATGTCTGACTGACTCCTGCTTCTGCAGCCAATTTTGTAGCTGGGCGACGAGGGTTTCTCAACTTCTCCTTGGCGTTTTTGACCAATTGTTTTGTTCGGACACTTCGTTTCTTTCCTTGACCAGGTCGATTGCATGTTTCACAAGTTTCATTGAATTTTTTACCACCTCCCACACGAATTTGGAGCTTTTTTGCAATGACTGAATTACTCTCGCCCTTTTCATGAAGGGTTACAATTGCATTTTTATCTACTGCCATAAGTCACCAGGGAGGCGAGGAACAGGACTTTGATTGCAGTGAAGAGAAAGAAGCCTGACAACCTATTTGTGAACGAATACCTGACCAAAACACGAGCTGCTCTCCTTTACAAGCTAAGAACGCTGAAGAGATGCAATGAGTCTATAGCGAAGGTATATGCATGGCATGGTAAGGTTTGTGCTAAGACTATGGATAGTGACAAGATCTCAAGTTATTCTTATATCAGTTTTGCTAAAGGTTAGTTTTTATCAGGATGTATTCAATTTAGTCACTTTCAGTTCCCTTATCCCATCGTCATTATATGTTATTGTTTTTCGATTGTAATATCGCTAATGTCGCCTGTGAAGCTTTTTAGCTTATATGGGCATTCGCATCGAAGCATTTTGTCTTTTTTTTCTCCAAATTTTTGCCATTTTCTTGTTATGAATTTTTTTGTATGCTCCTGTGTGAATAAAGAAAGAAAGAAAGAATAAAGAAGTAATAGTAAATTTAGACACCTTAGACTTCTGCAATATAAAATAGATGAATTAATCGATGATATTAAGCTCCACTATAAAAGAAAAGTCTCCTAGAAATCAATTTATTTTTATATAGCAAACATGCGTTGCCATGAATATGGCGGACCCTGTAAAGAAACTTTATGCTACGTTATATAGGCTACTGCGTCGACTGTTAGGTCGGGGTTAGCTCTTACGCACGGTACATCGCGGCGTGCGTACTCGTCAGCTTCGGGAAGCTTACCAATGTTCCCAACCCTTCTATAGAATCACGGCTATCGTGTGATCTATCATGTGTTGCTTCCAGACGCTGACTCAGATACTTTCCCATCAACCGCTATCACGTTTAGTGAATATTACGTCTCAATAACAGATGATCATATCTTCTAATGTAATTATAATGAATATAATGAGACGTCAGATAGAACCCGGACATCTGGAAACTTGTACCATATGAAAACTTAAACCATCTTAAAACTTACCCCATCTGGAAACTTGTTCAATCTTGAAACTTGTTCCATCTGAAACTTGTTCCTTGTCACTTCGCTCACCTCCTATTCCGGTATACCAACTGCAAGCTAGCATCATCCCTTAAACAAGGTAAAATTGGTGCGAACTATGGTTTGAAACTTTTTCCTTCTTGGATGTCACCGCACTTACCATTTACTCTGACATCTTAACTGCCTTAGCCATGCCTCTTCTTACACCTTTACTCGTACCTTCAGATTTGCGCGGGGGGTGAACCGGGAGTGGACACGTGCCGGGGGGACAGCGGAGGCCCTTTGGTGACCACGAACAATCAAAGGCAATTCATCCTCGTAGGACTCACCTCCTTCGGCCGTAACCGGTGCGGCAGCAACGGCAGCTTCGGAGTCTACACGGCCGTCTACAAGTATCGGGACTGGATCGTCCAGACCCTCGCGGTATAGGATCTGGAGGATACCCTGAATGTTCAGTGTCTTTGGATTAACCAAAGACCTTGAATAGATAAGTTTTTTTGGCTTGACTGTGAAGGTTGGAACTATTATTTCCTAAAATTTTTTGACCCAAATGAGGAACAACTTCCTAATAGCCAGATCTCTGGCTTTTGAATATACCGCGTTGATGGTACAGTATTAGTGTATCATTATTAGTATATTTGTACTATGTTATGATATTATTAGTCTGCTGGGTGACCTCGCTACTTGCAGGTCCGTTGCGGCTGGACGGAGACGAGTGCGAGCTGCATTTAAGAAAGCATTCCTAATTAACATGCTTACCCAGGGATTAAAGTTCCAAACTATATATATATACATATATATATGACGTTTGGGAAAACACGGCATCGGTAGAAAAGGGTCGGCATCGATAGAATTTATTTGAATCTCAACTTTGGGTAATGATAGCATCCTATTTATGACATTGCATTGACATCTAAATAGTTCTAATCCAGTACAATGTGTATTTATTTCTGAGTTATACGACTAAAATGCAAGCAATTATTCAATAAAACCTTTCATTATATTAAAAAATACTTGCAGCCCAAATGTTTCAGTACCCGCTGGGTTACACAGTTGTCCTGGATAAAATGCATGGATATTTCAAACCATATTCTTACCTTCAAGATTATATTATCGGATTACGTGTACGGTCCCGTGAAATCTGGCGTGTTATTATATGTATACTGCCACTCGGCAAAGTGGCCCAGTGGTAATAGGCCAGAGTACCAGGATTGGAGCAGCGAGTTGCGGGTTCGATCCCAGCTCTATGCGCCAGTGTCTGGTAAGAACCGGCGAAGAGGCCGGGCAGTTTAACACGGCAGAATTGGAGCAGTGCGTTGCATTTCCGCTACAGAAACGAGCTGTGAATGCTCTGCGATGTTGCGAATCGTCGGCAGGCCTAACGGCCTGACGTCGTAATCTTTAGTAGTCTAGTTAGTTTGGTAATTTTTCAATTGGTCTAGTGTAAGGTGACAATGTTATTGTCATTCGTCCCTGGATATTTCCTCATTGAAGTCTTCCTTGCTGAAAGATAATCTCCTGCACTGCGATATTTTCATAAACATTTCCTTGTGTCAGCCTACCCTTTTTAGCAAGTCACGCCTTTGGTGACGCCAAATGGGGAAGCTTTATGAGCTCTGACCAGACCCGGAAACCTCAGTCTTAGGCTGAGGACCGCTGTCGTTATACCCCTTGCTCCTATCCATGTCGGTATTCCCCTTGCTCCTGTCCGCAATGTTTACAGGGCACCATCAACCGCAAGCAATAAGCGACCATAAGATCTGCGCAACGATCGACATGCATAATCACGCTCTCTGCACGTGGCCCGTGGAATGGAGGCGTACGAGAAGATGAGGAGGCGCGAAGAGACGTACTACAGCCATGAGCTGTACTACGTCACTTTTTTTAACCTTACGCCGAAAGAAAGTGACAGCAGCAAACCCAAGTGCCACGATGTCCGTGCCACAGGAGGCTACGCATCTATCTCCGCGTGCCACACAAAACTCCACAGATTCTACGCGTGTACGCGTCTGGAACCTCCTCAAGCAGCAAAGCTGAGCATACCATTATAAATTAGCCTGATTCAAAAATTCTTTTTAAAAAAATGTGTGTAAAGTAAAGCCTTACCAGCAACGTGAACGACAACACTATCTAAATGATCAATTTAATTATTAACGTTCTTTTAGGCATGGTTTTTAAAAAGTGTATTACCACATAAGTTTGTGCAACCACAACGTGTGTGCTTCCATTCAAATTTCAAACGTCGATAGTGGTTTCGATTCATTAAAAGTGTTTAGTTGCAAAGTAGACGGTACAAGTTCTTTCGCTACCTCACTTGTCTAATGTAAGCTACTCGCTGTTAGGTCGACCTATAATTAATCCTAGGGGCCACGACGACTTCATGGGAAGCCGTGCTAATGAATATATGCCAACAGGCTGACGCATTAACGTTAATCTCAATCGAGTCAACTCTAAGGAGCTGATGGGCGCAATTATGCAATTAAAATCCAATTCAATATTGAACTTAATACTGCAACCTTCCTTAGAAAATCAACACAATACTGCGATCAATTTTAAATAATAATAATATTATTGCGCGTTGGAACAACTGTTTCTTGACTATGATCAAATAATTCGGATGCAAACCGATTCAGTATTCATAAATACTATTATTAAAATTATATCCGATTGTAAGCTGTCACTTACAGAAACGGTTGTATAAACAACTTTGATGACTTTAACGATGGTTACGTGCATTGACTGATGTGTATGGACGTATACATGTATCGACGGGTACCCGCATTGATAAATATGTACATTGACAAATGTGTCTATTGACAAATGCGAGCGTTTACAAAAATTGCATGGATGAATATTTGCATTGACAGAGCGTACATTGTTGAATGCTGGAGCAAATGGTTACCTAGACGTTTTATTGATCTGTACTGTTACGTCATATAAAGGTTCAGAAAGTGTCATTTTTAATGAGAAATTAAATGAACCCGTATTATATCCAGCCATTTTGAATATGAGATGCTAAATTAATGTTACCGGCGTACAACTGTTACTGCGAAGAAGGTATGATCGCGTATAAGCTGCTTTATGATTACTTGCTAACTTATGATTATAATGTTTTCACCTTGATATAAGAATTGATTGTAAAGGAAACAATTTTTTCACGAAAGTGATAGATATATCATGAGTTATCACAGCTAATTGATCCAACTACCGGAACCGATAACTACTGCGGAGACGCTTATACGAATGAGTTTTATTTTTTAATTATTAACATATATATTTAACTATTTGCAGCCATTTACAAAGAAATAATATGGGCGACCTTTTCTTTTTATCAAATGTTGCCCCCATTTCATAATTGTATTTCGTGAGACTTAAAAATAGATTGCCGAGGCTTTCGTTTCCTGAGACATTCATGCTCCCAACACATGTGTGCTATTGAATCTCATATATAAAGGCCCTAAATAGCAATAATTTTTATGCACAAATACGGCAGACGAAGTGTGGCTTCGGTAGACCTTAACTTTACGTCTTAAACTATTTTTGCCTAAGAAAAGGCCGCAAAAGTCCTAAGCCTATAAACAATCACATTAATTATACAATGTGCGCCTTTTATAAATTAAGTATGTCACAGAGACGCGCTGATATTTTTCATACCTCAGGCGCAGGCCGCAAGAGCTCCACGATGGTTCCGTGTTCTGAAGCTCTATAAAGTAGTTCCCTATTGGGAACTTAAGAATTTATGAATCTATCGCGATTCTATTCATACATCGTTAATGATAACTTTGCTCTTTCAATACAATCAAGTTATGTTCTAAAATGCGATGTTGATTAAAGGGTGAAAGCAATAATGGTAGAGATTTCTATACACAATAATTATACTCTATAATTCATCTACGCAATTGTATTAAGAATAATAGTAATGAATGCGAAAGCCTGTCTATGTAATTTATGAATGTAGACTTTTTAATCATAAACGGTAGATTAAGATTACCAGTATCGCCTGCTTCCAACGCCATGAGTGGAGCATTTGCAAAGCAGTCAGGCAGTCAAGCTCGGCAAAAGTGCTGATGCTTACTATAGAATATAGATCAGTGCTACCGAGCCAAATTTTTGTATTACTATATTTTTCATTCTCTGCAGCGGCCTCATTTCTGTGACGAGATATATATTTTTAAAATAGGCTAAGCATTAGTTTGTCTGATTGCATACATTCTATGCTTTATAGGTGCTAAAGATACGCGACTTTGACGGTATCTAATGTAGTTGATACAAATAGTTGATGTAAATCAAGTTTGTTACGCAGCATATTGTAACATAATTTTAATTATGATCTGATACTACTTTCAAGTGTTAAGCTGTGTATATGTAGACAGCCAAGATTGTTTTTTAACGCATTCATAACGATTCCATTTTCGTCATCACATTTTCCTATTTGAATATCTTGATCGACGATTCCTTGTGATTTCATGTATTTTTGAGCTGTGAAATTCTTATTGTTTGTCATGATCTTCCATTATGTTTCTAACATCCTATTACATATGATTTCTGTTGCCAGCAATATTCAAATGATTCACAGACTCTGATCTGATGTTTTCAGTATATAAATTCGTTCATGTCAAATTGAGGGACCAATTTCCCGTAGGGAATTTGCTACTTTTATGATCTCTTAGCTATGGAAATATTCTATTAATTATTAATTCTTGCCAACTGCATGGTTTATCGACATTCCGCAATATTTCATTATGTGCATTTTGGATAGCACTAAATTCAGGAGCGTTAATTCTTTCGTATTATTTGAGAATTTCGAGGACGATCTAAAATTTCCCCGTAGGGAGGAAGGTGTAAAATGACAATGTTAATACCATTCGTCCCTGGATACTTCCTCATTAAAATCTTCCTAGCTGATAGACAATCTCCTTCACTGCGATAGTTTCATGAACATTTCATTGTGTTAGCCTTCCCTGTTTATCAAGTCATGCTATTGGTGAAGTCAAATGGCGAAGCTACATATATGAGCTCTGCCCAGACCCTGAAACCTCATGTATATTGGCGAGGACCTCTGTCGGTATACCACTTGCTCCTGTCCATATCAAACAGGACAGTAACGCAACTCAACGTCAGAGTCGAGAACACGCGGATATACTCTAGCCTTATCTTTATTTCAACTGGACGCCGAAGACACCAGTGTTAAAACTCCAAACAATAACCCTATTTCATCCTAAACTGTAAGCCGAAGTTTAATCCTAAATAATATTTAGGATAGAGCCCTTCATTAAAACATGTTTGGTTCATCAACAAGGGTTACTCTAATTCACTCTTTGACAATATTTTGAGTCACTACCTCGCAACAATCAGCCAAAAAAACAGGAAACCCAACGAGCAATGCAAGAAACCCCGAGTATCAAGTCCATAATGTCTACTATCAGAACCAATATTCATCTGCATACATAACTGACGAACGAATCCTCAAGCAGATGATTCGAAACAACGTGGAATGCACAAACGACAACCACCTATTACAGCTGATAATATACTACAAAAGCCCTAACGTAACCAGTTTAATCACAAAGAACAACACAGCCTCAAAACTACCAGCCCTGAAACAAACAAAAGTCATATACGAATACACGTGTAACCGCGGGGAGTGCGAGCCCCGCAACAATTCGTATATTGGCATGACTACTGCAACCCTATCAAGACGGCTCACAATGTATTTAGTTTCTGGAGGATCAAAAACGCACGCTATGGACAACCACAACACCAAATTAACCCGGGAAGAACTGGTACAAAATACAAAAATCCTTCATCACGAACCAGAATATAACAGACTACAAATAATGGAAGCAATTCTAATTCAACGGAAAAAGCCATACCTAGACAACCAAACGAATGGATCCGAACGCACTCTGAAACTTCCGACTGGATCCGAACGCACTCTGCAGCCAACCCGCAAGCAACTCAGCTGCTCGACCTCGTTGCCTGAAGATGCTCAGTGATGAGCGAAACGCGTCGCAGGATTTA